CTCTGAGGTCTCCTTTGCTCAAGCTACCCTCAGTGTGACACAGAGTAACACCAGCTGCCTGTGGATCAAGATGGAGAACTCCTACTTCACCATCACGTCTGCCTGCATGCCACCACGCCACCCGCCATGATGATAATGGGCTTAACCTCTGAACTTAAGCCACCCCAGCGAAATATTTATAAGAGTTGCCATGGTCCTGGTGTCTCTTCACAACAAGAGAAACCTTGACTAGGTCACTCTCTATTGAGAAGGCCAGACATCTAATAAGACAGCTGTTGGTTCTTCCCCAAGATAAACACGCCAGTATTGAGCTATTGGGGATAGCTTACTGGGCTGATCATGTTTTGGTTCATAGGTCCGTGAAGCTTGCATTGTACCTTCTGATACTGTGACATATGCTATAGCTTCCTAATGCCTTTATCATTTGGCCGGTATATGAGCTGCTCTCAAATCTTGACTGTTGTGAACAGTGCCATAATAATCATGAATATGCAGGTGTTTTTGTTGTGTGATGGTTTTGATTCCTTTGGGTATATACCCAAGAGTGGTGAGGCCGGTTCTTATGGTAATTCTATTCTTTAGCTTTTTAAGAAATTTTTGTACTGGCCTCCATAGTGGCTGAACTAATTTATATTCTTGACACTTTTTTCTCTACATGTTAATGAACCTGTATTGTTTTCCTGGTGACGGCCATCCTGATGGTGGCAAGAGAATTTCAGTGTGGTTTTGATTTGTATTTGCCCAGTGGCTAAAGACATTAAGGATTGCTTTAATGTATTTATTGGTCATTTTTAATTTTTTTGTGGAGTGTCTATTCAGATCATTCATTTGTTTATTAATTAGAGTATTTGTTCTTTTGTTATTTTTTGAGTTCTTTATATATTCTGGATGCTAGTCCTCTGACAGATAGATGCTGGTTCAGATTTTCTTCCATTTTGTAGGCTGCCCATTCATTCTGCCAATCATTTTCTTTGCTGTGAAAAACAAACTTTTGAATTTTTGCAATTCTTTCTGCCATTCTTGCTTTTATCTTTTGAACTATGTGAGCTGTCTTACGAAACCACCCATGCCAACATCTTGTTATGTTTCTCCTGGGTTTTGTAGCTTGAAATTTTCTGGTCTTATGTTAATACTTTAATTCGTTTTGAATTAGTTTTTGTGTAAGGTGAGAGTTGTGATCTAGTCTTGGTGTTCCACATGTGGGTATCACACTTTCCCACCAGTGTTTGTTAGTGGGCTGTCTTTTCTCCACCTTATGTTTTTGGCACCTTGATTGACAATTGGCTGAAGATGAGTAGGTTTATTCCTATGTCCTCTATTCCACTGGTCCACATGCTTGCTTTTCTGCCTACTAAGCTGATTTTTTTTAAACTCTTACTCTCTAGGATATTTTGAAATCACCTTTGTAGCACCTTCAGTATTTTTCACTTTTCTTAGGACTGTTCTGGAGGCTTCCTAAGGCCCCAGTTCTAACCACCATAGTTGGATTAAGTTTCTACCCTCTTATTTACCTCACCATGGGGATAAAATTTCAACATATGAACCCTTGGGAGACACACATCTAAAAATATCCAAATCGCATCCCCCTCATCTCTTATTTCATAGACTCTAAAGAGCCTGAACATTGTAAGTCATTCACCATGGTGACAGTGAGTCTGTGTTCAGATAAAATGGAACCACGTTAAGGAAGATGCTCAGGACCTGTGCTCAAAGACATGGCCTACATCACTCTCTCATGTGACTCCAGTGGTGGGAACCTCACTGTAGATGGAAGGGAAGATGGCAGATGCACAGATTTTCTAGAAGGCCCAGGACTCAAAGTTGCCTTTGCAGTCACATGCCCAAGCTCTGCCTCTGTCCTTGTGGAGACATGTGGCACAGTAGAATGCCAAGGTGGCAAAAGGTGACATCCAACAACCATCCCTCTCTTCTGCCCCCTCTACTTGGATGGCTTGTAGTTACCTTAATGTAGCGTTCTAGGCAGCTACTTCTGTTGGCTACACTTGTTGAGAGGGTTTAGAGAAACCTGCTTGCCTCTCCCTGTCTTGATAGAAATAAGTAATTAAAGAGTAACTGAGCCTCCATTTCTTTCAATGTAAAAAGGAAAAAATGAGAATTCTTTAGAGTATTTCTGAACAACTGAGGACAGTGCATGTTGCTGTCCAGCAGAATCCAGCTGTAGGAACATTGTAGTGAGGGGCTGTGGGCAGGCCTGCTTTTCGCCTCACCCGGCTCCCGCACGGCTAGCTTAGTCCCAGAAATAACAATACACAAATTGTATTCATTTAAGCACTGCCTGGCCCATTATCTCTAGAGAGTTAGTTACTGACTAACTCTCATATCTTGATATTAACCCATTTCTAATAATCTGTGTAGCACCACGAGGTGGTGGCTTACCAGAAAAGATTCAGCATGTCTGACCTGGTGGCTGGCTCCATGGCGTCTGCCTCATTGCCCTCTTCCCAGCATTCTGTTCTGTTTACTCCGCCTACCTATTTTTCTGTCCTATCAAAGGGCCAAGGCAGTCTCTTTATTGACCAATGAAAATAACACAATAGACAGATAACCCTCCTCCATCAGAACGTGTTTGGTAACTACAAAGGTGATCCCTGGGCTGTCACTGAGGGTGTAGAAGGCAGTGATGCCAACCGAGCACACTGCATTACCAGACAGTCAGGGACTGTGGAAGAAGGGGGCTTCTGGTCTCTCTTTGCTGTCTGTATTTTGTGAGATTACAGCCCAGAATGGATATGCCAAGTCTAATGGGCATGAGCAGCCCTGAGTAGGAACAAGGCTCAAGGCAACAGTTCCTACTTGCTGCCTAGGAATACCAAAGCCAGGTGAACAGTCTGTTTCCACGGTGTCCTGGGTCTGGCTCTTCTGTGTGCAGACTTTAGGGCTGAAGAAGGTCCTCTGTCCACTCTGTCAACTTGCACCATTTATAAAATAAGCTGATTCCAGGGATGGGTGATGCAGGGACGGGTTCGCTGATCGCTGTTTCGTGTTCAAGAGAGTCAACCTTTAACGAAGGCTGTATTTGTTTTTAAAAATCTTTCTGTGCAGTAAGTGGGGATGCTTTAATTTTTTTATTTTGTGTCACTAGCCATTTAATATGCATCTTAAATGCCTCTGGGTATGTCGTGATTTGCTGTGAAGTGTAATCTCCCCAGGGCACAGATGTCTGCTCCATTTACTTTTTAGAACACCCAGAAAAGGGCCACGAACAAGCAGCTTTCTAATCCATTTACATGCTACCATTGTAGAATGGACCATAAACCAGGTCCCCTACTCGTAAAAAGTACTGCGCTGCTGTAAGACCAGAAATCTAAGACGTTTTCACTAAAGCATCATTGAATGTCCTGTGCAGTACACATAGAAAACTATTTATTTATTTTAATTTTAAAATCATAACACTAGATGACTTTTTAAAAATCTGACCCATGTTAAAAAAATCCCCAAAAGCATGTAGAAGAAAAGAAAAAGTCATCTTTAATTCCCACATATGAAGCCAGACATTTCCAGTATCTGTATTTTGCCTATGTGATTCATTTAAAGATTACTAGTTAAATGATCTTTAAGACTTCCAAATTTTCTCTCCGTCTGTCAGTAGTGATGCCATGTTGTTTCCATGTGAGAACTATTGTCCTGCTGGTTTTCAGTGCCATAAGTGCAAGGAAAGGACTTGCCAGAAGCTGCTCGCGGCTTACTGCCTCAAAGGCAAGCTATGTTCCTATGGAGGAAACTTTGATCCATGCAGGGCACTTGCTCTCCCAGAGCCAGGTGACCCACCTCTGCCTGTCTCTTCAGGATTATGTCACCCACCAAGGCAACTTTCTGTTTCACTCAGTGATGTCAAGAAACAAAACACCACCCTTGACGTGAATCAGTTTTGGAAAATAGAGACTGGCTTTATGTTCCACGGCTTTGATGTGCTTAGTCGTTCCTGTAAGACTCTGCCTCTCTTTGGCTGTGATTGACAAGACCTTCCCTATATATTTGAGTAATCAGGCAGCCCGATAACAGAACAGAGAGACACTTACCCAGAGCAAACTTTTCCCATTCATTGCAACTTTTGAAGGAAGCCTTGACTCCAGCAAGCTCAGGTAAGTACCTCTCCATCTCTCACTTCCTTCTTCCCAAGGGGAAGCCCACAGAGGCCACATGTCAACATACCAGCAAGAATAGTTTCGGACATGTGGCTCGTCCTGAGTGGCACTGACCTGGTGACGTTTCACAAACACGACGTCCAGGAGTGTTCTGTTCAGTGGGCCAGCCATGAAGGGCCCCGTTCTGGGCTACTAGAGCACCAGAAAGGGCCAAGGACCAGAGCGGGCAGACTCTGTAGTAGATCATGACTAGCTTTCCATCATTTGCTGCTAAACTGAGCCACCCTAGGGCCTTTGCACAGCAGGAGCATAGAACAGATGTGATCTCTAAAGAGTAGAACACATTTTATGAGTGGCAACCATGCTGGGTCCCAGGTTTTATAATATCTTCTGTATGGTAGGTTGGGTTAGTAACAACACACCGGGATATGCTTATTATTAATTTATTACTATTAATACTTATCTACCTTCCCCATTCATTTCCCATCCAATACAAATGTGTGCAAAGCTCCTAACGTGACACACACACGCATACCCTGAAGATATGGGTAAGAAAGAAGGTGTGTGAACTCTTGTACTGTTGTGGGTTTGACATTTCTTTTGCATGAATTGGGATGAATTCCTTTTACATACAAGTCAGCTCCAGGAGCTGGGGTTCACCAAGGGAAAGCCTGAGACCATGTTTTGAGAGTAGGGTGTCTAGAGAAAGTTGCTACCTATTTACAGGTGCTAGTTATGGAGATGCAGTTGGAGCTGGACAATTGCTTAGCTCATTTTTTTCCCCAGTAATGCTTAGAGCAAGGTCTCTTCTAGAGTGACCATCACACTGTGGGCTGCCCCACTGTGAGCAGTTGGGTGTGTTCATCTTGTTTCCTTTCCCTCCTTGGGACTAGCATGAAGCTGGCACACCTTGTCCTTGGTGCCACGGCCCTCCTCCTTCTGGGTGGTTGTGACTCTGTCCTCAGCACCTCCAATGGGAACCTGCATACGTTTGTGGGCTGTGCCGTGAGGGAGTTCACATTTCTAGCCAAGAAGCCCGGCTGCAGAGGACTTCGGATCACCACTGATGCCTGCTGGGGCCGCTGTGAGACCTGGGAGGTATGTAGTCCAACGGGCTTGGATGGCAGTGTCCTTGAGTTCAAGGGTTCACTGTTTCACGACTGAGGGGATGCTGGGACATCTGCCCTGTCCTCTGCACTTTAAAAATTCGATTGCACTATTGTTTGGTTCGTCCAAGATCTGAAAACCATGATGGGGCTCCTCTCCATAGAGCTGGTGAGATTGGAAACAAAATTTCCATGCTTCTGCATGTTTAGAAGCCATCTCTAGGAGATCAGATGCTACTGTGAAGGTCACAAGGAAGGATTCAAGGGGGGTGGGGCGACTGCCAAGTCAGAGAGAATCAATGCAAAGTTGAAAATAAATCATTGGTCCAATCTGTGCCCACATCTCCTTCCTGTATTTCCTCAGTTATGAGGAAGGCAGGCAGGTACCCAAGAGAACCTGGAAGTTTAGGACGAGTCCCAGGCTCTGCCACAGCTCTTTCCCCTTAGCTCAGTGACAGATCCATCCGCTCCATTTACACTCAGTATGTCTAGCCTTTCACTTAGAGTGGGTATACAAACCTCAGAGCTGGCTGTGCTGGGGAATGTGTTCATGATGCCTGGCTGCACTCACCTCTTGTTAAAATAGTGACTCCTCATGACCTGGGCTCCAAGATGCCAGGTTTAGCAAAATCAAAGCCAAACCTGACTGCTCCCCCAGCTAACCAAGCAACCAAACAAAAGCTGCACCAACCTCCTTCCCCTTCAAACCCCACAATCCAAAGGGAAGTCAAATTTAAAAAATAATTCAGAAACGTGGATAACTTGAATTTCAGATCAATAACACTTCATTTGTTTATTTGGCATACTGCATGGGACAGATTTACAAAACTAAAAAAAAAAAAAAAGTTAACTGAGTACCTGATTTTCCTAGAACCCAGAATACCGTGAGTTAAAGGACACAGCATAGAGAGAAGAACTGAGATGCTCTACCTGGTTCTTGGAGAAGGCAAGGTTGTTAGTTTTGTAACATTGAGGCAAGAGCTTCATCTTGAGCTGGCCTGCTTGTCATCTGTAGGTGTATGTGTGTATACACACCTATGCATGTATGTACTTATACTCTATATATGTGTGCATTGTCATCTATTTTTCCTGTTTCTATATACCTGTATGTGCATGTACCTCCGTATGTATGTATCTGTCTATGTATGTGCCTGTGTATGGATGCATGCATTATCTATCTAATCTCCCTCCCTACTCCCCCTTTTTTTTCTTGCTCAGAACAAAGAGACTGTCCTTTGTAAGACTGTCATTATTACATTCATTATTACATCCTTATAATTGGTAATTGCACTCGTAAGAGCCATGATTGCATGTATTGAACTCTGACTTTTGCCAGAGCTTGTGCATTGCACACATCACCTCATCTAGCTCCATGACAATGCTCTCAGGTTGGTGTTTTGCTTTATAGACAGGAAACCGGGGCTTGGAAGCAGTAAGGGCTTTCCCTAGGTCTCCAGCCGTGGTAAAGCAGGCATGCACAGCAGAGCTGACTGTAGGCTTTGGGTTTCTCACTCCTGATCTTTGTACTTCCTCTAACAAAATTATCTGTGAATTCAAGGTTTATTAAGTGGTGAAGGAGGATGTGCGCAAACCCTCCAGTCATCAGAACAGAGTACCAGGAAGCCGCCTGGCTCGGCTCTCTTTTGTTGGTTCAGTAACAAGTAGTTATTGTGAATCTCCTGGGTGCCAGGCTGCCTGGGTACCAGAGCCTGGTGGCTGACCTAACGGAGCTTGCTGTCTAGATTAGGAGCAATGTCACACAAAAGTGAGATGTAGGAGATGGCATCTGGAGTGAACAAACACAACAACAACCCCGAAACCAAACCAAACAGGAAGGGGGAGAGGAGCTCTAGGCCATGGAGGTGGGTTGAAGGAATTGAAATAGGATCAGGAAATGCTTCTCTAGGTTGGTTGACATTTGAACAAAATCCGAAGTTCATGAAGGAGGTGTGTGTGTGTGTGTGTGTGTGTGTGTGTGTGTGTGTGTGTGTGTGCATGTGTGTATTCAGGGCAGAAGGAATAGCACATGCAAAGACCCTCAGTTCCTGGTTGATCTGAAGGAGGATAGAGAACGCTGTGCCTGGAGACTGGAGGGGGATGGCCAAGGTTGGGACTACAGCCCACATCGGCAGGAAAATACAGATATAGCGGGCTAAGACTTGAGAAGAATCCGGACATCTTTGCCGTTTTAATCCAGAGCGCGACGGGAAATGACTGGGGCTTCGAGAAGAGGTGGGCCATGACTGACTTGTATTTTAAAAGGCTGACTCGCGTTGTAAACAGATTGTAGGGGAGAACGCTGGGAGAGGGGAGACCAGTTCTTTGCTGGCTAAATATTTACCAAGTGCTTCCTGTGTTTCCTGGACTTCCATGGAAGCTCAGGCTATGGTAGTGAGCAAGCAGGCTTCCAGCCTTCAGGAGTTTATTCGCGGTGGGAGAAGTCAGAGCAGAAGTAAACAACCACCAGTGGATGGCTCCAAGAACAGGAAGCAGGATGCTGCATTCTAACGGGTTTCCTGTTTTCTACCTGTGGGGACAGAAACCAATCCTGGAGCCTCCCTACATTGAAGCCCATCACCGGGTCTGTACCTACAACAAGACGAAGCAGGTGATTGTCAAGCTGCCTAACTGTGCTCCTGGAGTCGACCCCTTCTACACCTACCCGATGGCTGTCCGCTGTGACTGTGGGGCATGTTCGACGGCCACCACTGAGTGTGAGACCATCTGAGGCCAGCATTGTCTTCAGAACACAGCTGGTGGCCCGAGCGAGCCTCACAGAATCCGTGCGCTTGCCCAGGGATGAATCTGCTCTAGCTCCTGCCTTCAAGTACGATTCAGTATTTGCCAGCCTGTCCCCTGCTTGGTTCAGGTCTTCCTCCACCCAGTTTCTGTGTGTGTCCAGGTGCAGCACACTCAGGCTAAAAATGTCAAGCAATATCGATCCTTCCCCAGGATGATGTCTCTGATTCTTATGTCTGTAACTTAGGCTAGGGTTTCTTTGCCTGACTTTTGGAGCATGGTTTGTACATTACAACCCTCCCTCAGTTTTGATTGACATCATGGCATTTATTTAAAGGAATTGGATGTCATTAAGCGACAGGAAGCCTTTAAGGTTCCACATTCTGTCATTGAACTCCAACTGGATTTATGATTAAAGGGCAAAGTATGATCAAAACCAATGCACTTTCTTCCTTGCTCAAAAGAAAATCCAACTTCGAGTGTTCTTAGAGAGAACGCTCTGTTTCCCTTCCGGCTGAGCAATTACCTAGATAAGAGGCAAAGACAGTACTGCCTGCTACAAAAAAGGGTGTTTAGAAGTGGGTATTCCTCTCCCAAGGAAAAGTTCCTCCGTTCCCTTAAGGATCTTCCTTATTGAAGTGTGCACTCGCCAGTTAAAACAAAACAAAAACAAAACTAAACTAAACTCACAAAATGCAATTAGAAACTATCATTTAGGTTTAAAAATACCACAGATTAAATTCATGGCTCGAGTGTTTTCCCGCAGCCACAGGGGAGTGACCAGTTACAAATGACCCTGGCTGTTTAGTGTATCTTAAACCTGAATGGCAATGCATTAGACTTGGAATCCTGAGTGTTTGTGAGGTGAGGCTGCCCTGCCAGTCCCAGGAGAGAGGCTGTGCTTGTCCGGCTCTCGCTTTCTCTAAAATCACACAGCAGCTGATTCTGGGACCTTCTTTTTCAACTCGAGTTCTATGCACACATTTTTTGTTTTGGCATTTGGGGGCTTGAGTTTAACTTTGTTCTTTTTGAGACTATGCCAGGAGCATCTATACTGATGGCAATAAAGTGTCCTCCCTGTCATCTGCATTCATGCAAACGTTTAGAAAAGTCTTTCTAGTTTTTATTTTGCTTGGTGTAACAATAAAGGCCCTTGAAACTTTGAAGTTCTTTTGCTTGACATTCATTTGGAATTTCATGGTTAGTAAAAGGGACACAGACGACTTGTGTGCCAGGGGTCCTGTCATCCGCAGCCCCTGTCGGGCACAACTGTGAGCCCTGAATGCTCCGTTGATGGAGGAATCACTGAGTCCATGAAAATCTACAGAGCAAAGGTTGAGACTGGTGATCAAGCCCCGGGACGCTGGGGCAAAGGTCTGGGACAAAGGACTGGAGCAAAAGCCACCACAAACTGTAGCAACAGATGTGTTGGTAGAAGAGAAAGTCCTTGCACGGAAAGCCATTGATGGGTGTTCTCTCCTAGGAAGGGGTGCTGCTTGTGTTTGGCTTAGGGGTTTCCTTACATTTCAAGGAGCCTTCCTCTGGGTTTTTTCTGGGGCAAACCTCTTGCCAGAGTTTTGGGAAAGATGGGCACAGCCTTAGTAACAATTCAGGCAGGAAATAAATAACACATTTCACTAGAGGAGAAAGTGTGACACACTTGTGATTTGGAAGTAGTGGGCACCCTTAGGGTGCTGTGATGGGAAAGGGTGTGATTATTAAACACCAAGGCAAACACAGGAGAAGAGCCAGTGCCCAACGGGGAGCTCTGTTCATTAGTAGGATGCACTGCTGTTTGCCAAAGTGAGGCATGGGGAAGGGGAATATTCCAGCCTACACCAAATGGGAATATTAATAGGTAGAGACCATTGATTTGGTCCTCTATAAACTCTGGTCTTCTAGGAAGCAAGTTAAAGGAGGGTAAGAAATGGATCTAAGGATAATGGCCATATGACTTCTTAGGTAGGAGTTTTATTGCAGTGAAGAGACCCACGGCCACGACAACTCCTATAAAGGAAACATTTAGTTGTGGTGGCTTGCTTATAGTTTCAGAGGTTCAGTCCATTGTCACCACGATGAAGAGCCTGGAGGTGTGCAGGCAGAGCTGCTGGCTACATCTTCACTTGCAGGCAGCAGGAAGTCAACTGAGACACTTGGTGGTATCCTCAGGAAACTTCAAAGTCTGCCCCTATGGTGACATACTTCCTTCAACAAGGCCATACCCACTCCCACAAAGCCATACCCCCTCATTAGTGCCACTTCTTATGAGATTATGGGGACCAATTACATTCAAACTATCACAACTGCATTTGGGGAGTTTCAGCTACAAAGTGCAGCAGGCGGTAATGGTGGCCGTCAGGACAATGCGTAGGCTGCAGTGTCATGATGGCTTGTATTTCTCTGATGGGAACTGCTGTGGGGTACACAGAAGGTCTGTGCCCACTAATGTCTGAGAGATATGGAGGCAGGATGATGGTAGTTACAAGGACCCTGGCATTGGTTGATTATTAAGTATAACCAAAGACCTTTGGGCACAGTGTGGAGGCTGCATTAGAAGAGGCAGAGGGGAAAACCAGATCCATGGGAGAGCAGTCCAGTTATTTAAAAGACTGTCTCTCCTAGCATAATTCTTCTGTTCTCACTCATGTTCTTCCTAATAGGAAGGAGAGAGACACAGAGGCGGTGCAATGAGCAGGGGGATGCACTTGATGACCTCCCGTAGAGGGCCCATTGGCTCCTCCTTGCCACTAGCTGGAAGGTCACTTGGAGGACTTAAGGTGGGAGGGTGTTGTTTTATTATAACTGTCTCCTCAACCAGTGTCTATGATTTCTATAGTTTAATACTCCTGCCTCTGCCTCCTAAACGCTGGGGTTTTAGGCGTGTGCCATCTCACCCATTCTTTGTGGTGCTGCGATACTGAACCCAGGGCCTTGTGCCCACTAGAAAAGTACTTTGTCAAACGAGCTGTAGCCCCGGTCCCTACAAATCCATATATTCCCGACGATAAGTAGAGACAAGACTTGCTTTCTGGCGGGGAGGAATGGAGGTCTTTACTGAAGAAGCTACTGAATAATGCAAACCGGAGGAAGGGGGAGAAGGTACTGGGCATGGGGTGTGGAGTGGGATGGCAAGAGTACAGGCAAATGGAGCGGTGTTTAGGATGTGTAAGTGTAAGAACAGTCAGAGTTTGTCCTGGTGTGCTCTTGGAATGGCCCCTGTGAGCTTGGGGCAAATGGTGGCTTCTATCAATGAAGAGGAGAGGATTTAACTATGCTGACGGAGTACCAAGGAACCAAAAATAAGCATTGGATGCGGTGTTATCCTATAGGACCCGAGGGCTCTCCAGATGTCTGAGTGGTTCAGTGGACATTCTCTTTATCCAAGAAACGAGAGCTGCTTCAGTGAAGGGCACACCTACCACAGAAAAGTTCCATCCTGTCTGTCCTCTAGGCCAGGGGATGCTGCCTGGGAACTCTGGGCTTCTAGGTGTCAGCAGAGGAGGCAGGACTTTGCAGAGACAAGATGGTGACATATAGCTACAAGAGGCAAGGACGACCTTGCCGCCATTGCAGACAACAGAGCTACAATGGTGACTAGAGGCCTGTAACCTGTGGGGTCTGTGGTCCTGCCTAATAGGCAGTGGAGTTGCTAGTCCATGACATTTAAAAAAATTGCAATAGATATGTATTATGATGATGAGGAAATTTACTAAGGAAAAAGAGGAAAACATCGGTCAGGAACTATAACAGTGAGAAACCCAATTTTTTTTTTTTTTTACTTTTCATTTCTCTTCTCTCCGTTGCACAGCCTTATTTTTCATAAATATTTATTGACTCTAATTTTGTAGGAAGCACTGTTTTGGAAATAAAGATACGAATATTGTTGCCATTTATAGAACTCCCACGTTTATGAGTTCTCAGGTGTGTATGCACGTGCTTGCGCATGGGTGCGTGCGCACATACACACACACACACACACACACACACACACACACACCCCTACCCATATGCACGTGGAGGTCAGAGGTCAGCCTCTGGCATCATTTCTCAGGAGCTCTCTATCTCGTTTTGAGAGGGCTCTCTCTGATCCTGCTGCTCACCTGTTAGGCCAAGCTGACCGGCCGGTGACGACTGGGGATTCTCTTCTTGTCTCTTGCCTCTCCAGAGCTGGGATCCCAAACATGTGCTAGCAAGCCCAGTTTGTTTGCTGGTGTGGGTTCTGGGTCTTGAACTCGGGTATTTATGGTTATTGGCTGAACCATCTCCCTAGGCTGCCTTCTTTAGTCTGTGTCAACCATACTACTAAATATTATTAGTATCATTTTATCATTGCTGTTTTATGGATGATGAAGCCAAAAAGGCAACGTATCAGTCACTTGCCCATGCTAGCACAGCTAACAAGCCACATGTACCTGGGGTAGTGCTTTGAATAGTTATGGTCTCCATAGGTTCATGTATTTGAATGCTTGACCATAGGGAGTGGCACTATCAGGCGGTGTGGCCTTGTAGGGTAGGTGTGGCCTTGTTGGAGGAAGTGTATCACTGTGGGAGTGGGCTTTGAGGTCTCCTATGCTGAAGTCATGCGCAGCATGATACACAGTCTCCATCTGCTGCTTGTGGATCAATATGTAGAACTCTCAGCTCCTTCTCCAGCACCACGTCTGCCTGCATGCTGCCATACTACTTGCTATGATGATAATGGACTAAATCTCTGAAACTGTAAGCCAGCCCCAATGAAATGCTTTCCTTTCTAAGAGTTGCCACGGTCATGGTGTCTCTTTATAGCAATAGAAACTCTAACCAAGACACTGTCTTCTCTGACTCAGCTCAACCGTGTTCTACTGAGGCATGAGGCCTTTTAAGAAAGTTTCTTCAGAGTCATTTCTGCTTGGTACAGTCTGAGTTGATAGATGTCAAACTGCTCATTAGCATTTTCTGTTTTTTTTTTTTTTCTGGAGGCTGGGTCACTCTGTGAAGACTGGTGTGCTCACCTGGTTTCCTGTGTCACCTCAGGAAATGGTTGGTTCCTGTAGCACAGATTATATCTTACAGGAGAAGTGTCTGAGGGAGAAAAGAGACTATGCCACAGCAAAAGATGAAAGAAACAAGAGGTGAGGGTTATGGATTTGCATTGGTTTCCTACGTGATGTAGAAACGGATGCTGGGGATGGTGTTCCAGGGCCTTCCAGATCAGCTCTCAACAAATGGTTTCTCAGCAATTCCTTATTAAGAAATATATTGATTTTGTAGTTAACGAAAGGTAAGGAGTAGGGGGAATTCTTTTCTACAGAGCGGTTTGATTGGGGAATGTAAATCCTCCCCTTTCCCTTCCCTGATCTCTCTCTGAGACAGACTTCGGATAGCCCAGGATGTTCTCCCTGTGTGGCAAATGATGGTCTTGAACTCCCGATCCTCCTCTTTCTACTTTCTGAGTACTTGGATTCCAGGCATGTGCATCATGCTGGGTTTGTGTGAAATGGAACCCTTCATGGCCCATTTCACTCCTGGCTTCTTGACGCTTCCTGGATGAAGTGGTAATTCACTTCCCCTCTTCTACATTAGCAAAGTACTAAGTTCTTCTATGATGGCCCAGTTAGCTCAACAGATTGATTATGTTTTAAACCAGTAAAGTCATTTTATAGACAATGAGTTATGTACCCAATTAAAAAATAACACACATGGATAATTTGCATTTCATAAAGTTATTCATGAGGCCTACTTCTCTTCATCATTCAAGACATATTTATTCCAAAAATTATGTGCCCTTCATCCCAGGATGGCGGCATTGCATATGCCTGTCGTCTCGGCACTCAGTAGACTGAGGCAGGAGGATCAAGAGTTTGAAGCTAGCCTTGGCTATGTGGCAAGACCCTACTTAAAAAAAAACAAACAAACAGAGAAACAAAACATTTTGCTCCAATCTTTCTTGGTTTTCTATTTTAGAATTTTAAGCAAACTACTAAAAGTAACTTTTAAATTTATTTTTAAACAAATTCCTTAACTTTTATTTTCTAAAAAAAATCATATCACATTTATTTATTTATTTATTTACACTTGTGTGTACAGATGTGTGTGTGTGTGTGTGTGTGTGTGTGTGTGTGTGTGTACGCACGTGTCAGTGCCATGGAGTACATATGGTCAGAGGACAACCCAGGGATGTTAGTCC